ATTTTTTCCAGATCCCCTTTTGTTGCCAGTTCAGTGGGTCCAGGTGGTTGCATATCAGAGTGTTCCATCTCATTTCCCTTTGGGGTTGCTGTAGGTGATCTGGAAGTCTGGTTTTGAGACTTATGTACGTGTTTTCTCTTTTCGACGGGGGCGGGGGCTGTTAGCGCCTGCATGGATTACTTCCTCTGAGCTATCCTAGAACTCTTGAGAGGCTGAGGCAAGAGGATCACAAGTTCCAAATATCCTGGGCAATTTAGTGCTTTTGCGAGCCACTCTCTCAAACGTAAAAAAATAAAAAAGGGTTGGGGATGTAGCTGAGTATGGTAGGCCCTGGGGTCAATCCCCAGTACTGGACAGCAGGGGCGGTTGGTGAGGGAGGCCAAAATCATCCTCAATTATTTCTTTCCAATTGCAGGAAAAAGTGAAGTCACATGCTCTTACACTTTATCATACTGTCCAAGTGCTGTTTTTAAAGGCCTGGATAATGGGATGACAAGACCCCAAATTGGGCTGCTTCTCGATATAATGAAGCCAGCGGTGAAAACACGAAGACCGAGCCACTTGGGTTCTAGGCAGAAATTGGCCAGAAGCTCTCGCGAGAGGCTTCCCTCGGCGCGAACCTTCGTGAGCACTAGTTCCGGTGTGCTACTTTAACACGCCCGCAAGCAAGCTGCCACCGCTCGCGCCTTTCTCTGGCACTGAGGGGCGGGGCGGGGAGGGGCGGGCCGGAACTTTTGTCTGTAGGAACGGGTTTATACAGTCGAATGTTGCCAGCCGGCGTCAAGAAGAAGAGGGTGCCATCGTCTTCCTCTTGCCGTTGCCGCCGCGGAAAGGAGCTTAGCTGATCAGATCGAGAAGCGCGGTTACCCGACGGGCTGGGTCTATGGTCGCTCCGCGGGCCGCTCCGCCGGCTGGTGCTTTTTTATCAGGGCAAGCTGTGCTCCATGGCAGGGAACTTTTGGCAGAGCTCCCACTAGTAAGCGATCTTCTTTCTTCTCGCCGGGGCCCGTTCTTAGGGGGCGGTGAGGACAGGGCCTGCTACTCCCTCTGGTCCTGGATCCCAGCTCTGGTCCCGAGAGATCCTCTCGGGAGGCATCAGAACCGGAAATGAAATGGGCTTTTTTGAGGCGACCCCTTAGTCCTCCTGTGCGAAGTTTGGGGATGGAGTAGTCGTGAATGAGAAGGGTGGGGGAAGGGGTTTGGTCTCCGGGAAGGAAGACGGTGTTTAATTCGGATTCTTGGGTTAGGCAGGCCGGTTTGGGGGATGGAAGTGTGTCTCCTGTAGGGTTGTGAGGTTGTCTGTTCAGGACAGTTGTGGCTTGCTTTTGCCTGGAGTTTGTTCAGGAGAACAGCATTATGTTCGTCATTCATTTTCTGTCTTGAGTGTGTTTAATATTTCGAGGAGACCAGGGAGTCCGGCCGCTACTTTATGCCTAGATGGAGTTTCATGTTGATAAAGTACAGAGCACATGCTCTCAGAATTATTCATGTTAGCCCGTGTCTTATATTGTTCTAAATGTATTTCCCAGTGATTTTGCCTGTGCCTTCCACCTTTTTCATGAATAAGTTTCTGTTTCAGTCAGGGACTATGAAAGAGCTGGTATAATATTGAGCATCTCTACATTTATGTGAGGAAGGTGTGGTGTGATGGGGTTAAATAAACACTGATTAGGCTTACTACTGTATAGTTGGTGAAGATAATTTTAGTGTAAAATTTTAATAGTAAGCATTAATATTTAAATTTTTATTCTGTGAATGGGATTGGTGTCTGTTCACTCATTTTTTTCTGCCCTTTGCACGAAGAAGAAAAGAAACAATGTACTTGGAGACCCATTTTTCAAAAGGCATGTTTTCCTCTTGCTATAAAGTGATTCTGTGGAGATGAAATGCTGTCGATGCTTTAGTACTGATCATCTCATTTTTTAGTTTGCATTCTTCCTGAAACATTTGCTTGAGCAGAGTTGAAACAAATTTAAGTAGTGGCAAAATTGATAAACTTTGAAAGAAATTAAGAATAGACAGGTAGCCAGGCGTTTGTCAGTTTTTCAACTTTAAGAAAAGATTGTCTCTTCAGCATTTTCATTATGCTTTCATTTATTGAGAATAGATAGATAGATAGATTTTTTTTTTTTTTTAAGGCAGGGCCCTTCTATGTAGTCAGGCTGGCCTTGAACTCACTGTGTAGCCCAGGCTGTCCTGGAACTCAGGGCAATCCTCCTGCGTCAGTCTCCCAGTGCTGGGATTACAGGTGTGTGCCAAAACACCCTGCTTCAATTTAAAATTATAGTATTAAATGTGTTTTTAAAAAACTGACCTTGCCTTCTAATTCATATAATTCTGGAGGAAGGGCCACTTGTCTTTACTCAGATCCCTTGAGAATCTTGGAGTCCCTGACCTGCAAAAGGCAGTATGAAAGGCAATAAAAGTCTTTAAAAAGAAATGAATGTATTGCATGTGTACTAATTTTTTTAAAGTTTTATTCAGCTTTTATTTATTTTAAATTTTTTATTCACCTTTTAAAAGAAATGGACAAGATCAGGAAAGGCCATTTTTAGGTGAATATGATGAAAGGAAAATGAAGAAATGTGCCATGTTTCAGTTGGCCTTAGGTGATGCACACCAGCACTCTGGGAGTTGAAGCAGGAGGATCCTAAATTCAACCCCAACCTTGGCAACTTAATGACATAGTAAGATGCTGTCTAAAGATAAAAAGGGGCTAGGGTTGTAGTTCATTGCAAAGATCCTGATTTAAATCCCCACCCCATCCCAAAAGCAAAGCTGTATTTCATGCCTCTGAGATGGACATTTTCTTACACCTGGGAAATCAGCATGGCATTTTTTTCATAGTGACACATATAATGGTAAATCTTACATGTAATCTAAAAGTTGCTAAAATGCAGCATTTATAAGTCTTGGTTTACCCTCCATGGGAAATACTATGAGGAAGACTTGAGACATTTGTGAAATTTATCTTAAAAAAATAAAATGACTGTGGAGATGAAACCATTGAGCAAATCACCAATATTTCAGAAAATTGAACAAAACACATCCTCTGACTAAAATGCAGTAAAACAAGTCCACCAAGTATTTTTCTAGTTGGTTAATTGAATTAAGGAACAGATAACAAAAATGAAAATCCATTAGAAAAATGGTCAGAATTAACAGCGTATAGAGGAATTGTATTTGGCCCATCAAGGCCTGAGGAAATGTTTGACCTCATAAGTAAACTTCAGAGGAAAAAGCAGTGATACATTACTTTGCCTTTAAGTTTTAAAGTATTTGAATGATTGAATGGAACCTTGAATATGATGAGACACAAATGAAGTATTAATAAGAATGGAAACGGGTAACCTTTTTGGAGGGCAAACTGACAGTTTACATTAAAGTTGTCACCAAAGTTGATCCATTAGTTCTACTTTTAGAAAATTATTTAAAATATATTATTTAACATGACTGGAATTTGTGAAGTAGGGAAATTAAATACCCTCCTTACTCATGAACAGTTGAGAATATACTTCATGGATCTAAGCGACCATCAATTGATGCTAAGTAACTTCTCCATTTTGTGTATTACCAAAAAAAGCACATGCTGTTAATTAAGATAATAAAACATTGCTGATTAAGATGCATCTTGATATGGGAGTGTTAGAATCAATGTAGTATTAATACAATAGACCAGGAAGAAGGATAAAATTAGAGGATAATTTTTTTCAGGGTATATTTATGTTTGTTAGTGAGATAATTCTTACAAATTTGCATTTTCAGAAACATATGAAATACTGTCTTTTCAGGTTACTTTTTGGCACTTTATGCTTCCAGAATATGAACAACCTATTTAGTCTGAGTGTCTTCTGTGACTTATTGATTTTATATCATTCACATCTTAACATCTTTACTTCTTCTAGTTTGCAGTGGATTTTGGATAAACAAGATCTGTTGAAGGAACGCCAGAAGGATTTAAAGTTTCTCTCAGAAGAAGAGTATTGGAAATTACAGATATTTTTTACAAATGGTAAATTTTTTTTATTGGTTGAAGTGGTATAGGTTACCCTTTTTTTGTTTTGTTTGTTTGCTTGGTACCTGGGATCGAACTCAGGATCTTGCACTTGCAAGGCAGGCACGGTGCCACTGAGCTAAATCCCCAGCCCTTCTTTGTTTTTTGAGACAGGGTCTCACTGTGTACTTCAGGCTGGCCTCGAACTCGCAGCAATCCTCCTACCTCAGCCTCCCGAGTGCGGGGATTACAGGTGTGCGCCACCACACTCGGCTAGTTAGTTACTTTTGAATGAGAATGTTTTTGTGTGATGATTTTTGATGAACTCTTATAGTCTAAACTTAACATTTTTATTTACACATGCAATTTTTACAACTTATCTTTCTTTTTAGTAACCTAGAGTTTTTGTGAATTTTACATGTCAGAAGACTAAAGATAATTGAAAGTGTTAGCTAATCATAAGCCTTTATAAAGTAACTACACTAAGATTGGCTAAAGAAAGGTACTTTACAGATAAATAATTCTTTGAATGAACAGCCTATGGTTGTCATTTTTACCCTAGAGCTTTGCTTTGTAGGGAAGGGGGTCTAGTCAAAAAACCTTTACTCTGTTTTATGATAACTGACAGATAAATCTCAGTCACTCTTGTACACCTACCTCTGTTGTTGTGAGGATTCATTATGGTAGTTAGAATGAGTTTGATAAGTGTCTAGCATTTTCTTTTTATATTATAAAGATAATATGAAAAGTATTAAAATATTTAGAACATAGAGGAATATCATTTAACCTCCTTACTGGAAGAATAACTTGTTATAGGGCAGTTCCTTTTTTGTATTTGCCTGTTTATGCATACTGCTATATTTTTAACAAATGTGCAGATCTCAGTATTAGACGAGTGTGAATCAAGTAGAGCTGTATAGCATGGATAGGTTTTCCTTTTGTTGAAAATGAATATAGTCACAATTTAAACACATGAAAATTATTGTTCAAGGTTAATTTAATTATAACAGGTGTACATTTAAAATTTTATTGTTTTCCTTTTAGTTATCCAAGCATTAGGTGAGCATCTTAAATTAAGACAACAAGTTATTGCCACTGCTACGGTGTATTTCAAGAGATTCTATGCCAGGTAGGACTGTTTTGTTTTGGGAATGTGTTTTGCCTATTTGAAACTCCTTTTTAATTCTGATGAACCTTAGTGTAAATGAATAAGTTGTTTGCCATAGATTTCCTGTGATATTTTTCCCAGTGCATTTCCTAAATGGGTGACATTTAACTATGTTTTATCACATTTTAGGTATTCTCTGAAAAGTATAGACCCTGTATTAATGGCTCCTACATGTGTGTTTTTGGCATCCAAAGTGGAGGTATAAACAATTTTCTGTTCTTCATCAAAATATAATCAATGTATGTTGGTGAATCTGCTTCAGTTTTTACATTGCTGTATGTAATGATAATAGATGGTGATTTATGCTTAATATTGAAATTGTACAAATTAAAAGAAATACATGTGTTTATTTTATATGTTTACTTAGCAAACATACACTATGTATCAACTGCTTTTCTAAGTCCTTAATTCTCATAACCCTGGAATATATAGTAGTAGTATCCTCCTCATTTTACAAATGAGGCAACTGAGGCAAAAAGAGATTAAGAACTTATTTAAACCAGGTGTGGTGACACACACCTGTAATCCCAGCACTCTGGAGGCTGAGGCAGGAGGATTGACACAAGTTCAGGGCCAGCCTTGGCTACATAGTGAGTTCAGGTCAGCCTGAACTGTGTAGCAAGACCCTGTCTCAAAAAAAACTTATTTAAGATCACACAGCTAGTAAGTGGCAGTACCAGTCTTTGCACCTTGGGAGTCTAGCTCCTAATCTTGTGTTCTTAACTTCTTGGCTCTGCTACCTTAAGACATTGTTTGCCACAGAGCAGTATTTATTATGTGCCACAGCTTTTCTCCAGTAACCTGAGACTGTCCCACCTATATGCCTCTTATTTCTTACTGTCTTCTTCCCTGCTTCCTGGTCGTTGCCTACCAAACCATAGGAAAAGCAAAACAGAAGGCAAAGATTGGGAAAGGCTATAGCCATATAGATTTTAACAAGGAAAAGTTTAAATAGTGAGGATAGAAAAATTAGGTGAAGAGAAGAAAGATAGGAACTTGGAGCTGAGACTGAATTTCTGTTTAACTTACCTTTTCAGTATTGTTGAGGGAGCTCAGGTCTTAGCTAAAATCCAAACAATAATAGCAAATTTTATGAAAATCGACAGTTTTCTTTAGTGTTATAAAACCCTTGTATGGTATTATGTTTCCATTTTTGGATAATTTCTTTAAAATAGTAATTGTTTTCTAGAACATCAGTTCTGACTTTAACCTAGTTTACATTGCTTTTGTACCCATTTTTATTTAGTTTTATTGTAGTTATTCAGGATTATCTACGATATCTTTCTTAACTATTACATAAGTAATGAGATTGATTATATTAGAAATAATTTGGGGGGGTACTGGGTATTGAAGAAATAATATTAACAAAAGCTTTCTAGAGGTTTTTATCTCTATGACCAAATTTTTCTGTTTTGTCCAAATGTATGGAAATGGTATACAAATGGTGTTTAAGATATATCAGGCTTATGTGCACCCATGTTTATAGCGGCACAGTTTGTAATAGCTAAAGCTTGCAAACAGCCCAAGTGCCCATCAACTGGAAACTGGATAAAGAAGATGTGGGTTTTTTATAAAATAGAGTACTACTCAGCCATAAAGAACAAAAAACTAGTCATTTATAGCTAAATGGATGCATACTGAGGCCATACACTTAAGTGAAATAAATAGGACACACATGTGTAAATACCGAATACTTTCTCTAGTGTGAGAAACTGAAAGTGTAAATAAGGGTTAAAATCATTAAAACGAATAATTGATAATTTGAAATAGGAAGAAAAGGTCCAAAGAGGTAGGGGTGCTGAGAGGGGAAGGGGAAAGGAAAGAAGGGAAAGGAAAAATTATGAGAAAAGAAAAAAAATGGAAACGAAGTCTATGTGAATAGGAAAGGGTAGAGGGGGGAAGGTCGCACAGGTAATGGGGAAAAAAATAACCAAGATACGTCATGTACAGGTACAAGCACCCAATGATAAATGTAAGTGTACTGTATACCTAAAATGTACCAATAAGAGAATTTTAAAAAGCTATATCAGGCTTTTAATTTTTATTTTCACTTACAGTTAGAAGTTTAAATGTAATGTTCCCCCTGCATAGGATAAGACTACAGTGAAAGTATTTAAATAGTTTTTAGTTTAGTTTCTTTTGTTGAATAAGGAACCAATTCTTAATTTTTCTGTTTAATAATCTTTACAGTGGTGGTACTGTGTATTAAGTTGAAAGAAGAAATGGGAATTAACTTTGGAAATCTTATATTATTCTTTTTTTTTTTGGTACCGGGGATCAAACTCGGGACCTTGCGCTTGCTAGGCAGGCGGCAGAACCACTGAGCTAAATCCCTAGCCCTGGAAATCTTTTATTATTCTTGATCTCTGTTCCCAAAAACATAATAGGTGTTTGTATGGTCTTCTGAGTTCTTTTAGTGTTAATTAAAGTTTATCTTAGTCAAAGATATAATATTTTATTATTAAATGACATAAATTATCTATTAGTCCAGGTTCAACTAAATAAGAAGCATACTTAATATTTATTCTTACAGAGAAGTAAAATCTAAACATCCTTGGAAATTGTTAAGTGCAGAAAACTGGCATTATTACTTTATGGCTTTTTGGTACCTTTTGAGATTAAATTATAAAATTGTTTAAAAGTTTGTCTTAAATTGTGACAGTTTTATAGGGAAAGGTGGAGGGGTGAAGGGAGGGCTAGGAATGGGGAAAAAATAAGAACCAAGATGCATTATGTAAAGGTACAATTCCCAATAAGAAATGTAATTGTGTTGTATACCTAAAATGTACCAATAAAAGAATTTAACAACAACAAAAAATTGTGACAGTTTTAAGGAAAGGTAAATGCATTTAGAAATTTAAATACTTCATACCTCAAGTAGGTAGAAACTGAACAGATTATAAATATAGGGGAAATGCTCTGTTTTGAACAGACCAGATATCCTTAGATTAACAAATACTGAGTTAGCATGTACCTGACCTCATCTGTTTTTTTGTATATAGGAATTTGGGGTAGTTTCAAATACAAGATTGATTGCTGCTGCTACTTCTGTATGTAAGTGCAAAATGTATACCTTGCTTTCTAAATAAAGTTCCATAATATAAAGATTTTTTTTTTTTTAGTTTATGAGGCATGTCAGAGATTGGTTGTGGTTATTACAGCTCCTGAGAATACCTTTATGACTAGCATTTTTGGCAAAAAATAAAAAAAGAGTTTGTAACACATTATTATCTTTAAGACATTATTTTAATGCTACAAATGAATAGTAAGGGCCAGGGATATAGCTCAAGGTTCTGAGTTCCATCTGTGGTACTGAATTTTTTTTTGGTTTTTTTTGGTAAGGTGATCAAACTCAGGACCTTACACTTGCAAGGCAGATGCAGCCACTAAGCTAAATCCCTGGCCCCAGTCAAGCTCACTTTTAAGCCCTAGTTCTTTGTCAGGAGCTGTGTTCTCCACTTGGTGATTTAGTTCTTTATCTAAAAAGATAGAATTTAGTTATCTATGTATGAATCATGACATTAAAGAAAATGACAATAAAATAACAATTGGAAAGCTCTATACACCAGATATCAACTTTATACTATGCACCATCTTTATAAGATGAAGCAAAAATGCATACAAAAGAGGAACAGACTTTTTAAATTATTTCTGTAAAAAAAAAATAATAATAAAATTATTTCTGTGATCTATACAGGAGAGGTAGAAGATGACATTTTGTGTTTTTTAAGTTTGTGAGCCATGCTGGTTTTTGTATTTTGGGGTCATTCCTCTTTCTGAGAGGTGTACAGTAATCTAATCTAGTATTTTCCATATCATGTCTTAATTCTTAATCCACTTGTACAAATGAAAGGGGTCACAAAACAGATCATTTAGAACCTGTCCATAGTTATTTGATTGAATTAATTATTGTACTATGATGGCTTTATACAATTTTCCCAAATAGTATTTAAATGTGTATACCCATACCATTTTGAGGAGATGGGGATTGATCGTTAACACTGGTTTTTCATTAGTATCTTTTTTTTTTTTTGGTACCAGGAATCAAACTCAGGACCTTGTGCTTGCCAGGCAGGCGCAGTGCCACTGAGCTACATCCCCAGCTTTCATTTGTATTTTATTATTTATTTTGATATAACAGATACAAAAGTTCAGAAAGGATAGATTAATTTTTTAAAAATCGTGACATCTTAGAGATAACTACTAACATTTGGGGGGTATTATCCTTTCATTTTGTAATTTTTTACAAATTATAGCATTTGTAAACACTTGGAAGAAATGGCCCCTACATTACTAAAGAATAGAACAATCATAGTGATTTTTTAAAATATTTTAATTTATTGTTTTAAAAAGCAGAACTCTTTGTGAACCTCTGTCATTGTATAGGGGAGGGCATACAGATTCCTGACATCCAGTCTTTTTCCTCCCCTGAAAACAAAAATCTAGATCCTTATGCATTGCCAAAGGCAAGTACTTGAAAATGATTTAGCCTTGTCCTCCAATATTCTGTACCAGTGGTGGTGAATCTTTTAGAGTTTTCAATTATAAAAACAGCCCACTGTGGCATGTGTGCCATAAGTTTACTACCACTATTTTGTACTATGTTAAAGGAATTTTGGTGTAATTCGCTTTGACATTTCTTCAGTTAAAATTGTTGTTTGTTTTCTGCAGTAAAAACTAGATTTTCATATGCCTTCCCAAAGGAATTTCCTTATAGGATGAATCATGTAAGTATATTGTATAAATAATGTACTCATCAAAACTAGATATAAATTAGCTCCAACTTATATTAGAATAAGCTTAATAATCTCCTAGAAATGGCAGCTTTAAGTACTACAAGAATATAGATAGTATTATTCATATTCATGTAGACATTCATATTATTACATTTGTAGATCTTCCTGTTCATGTTCTTTAATTTATATTATTAAAGCTGAATAGCTTCTATTTTTGAAAAATACTTTATAGTAATGGCTATCAACCCTGGCAGCTCATTAAATCACCTTGGGAACTTTTTAGCAGTACTTATGTTGAGACCTCTCCAGACTAACTAAATCAGGGTTTTCAGGCTTGGAGTCTCTGGCATTAATATTTTCTAAAAGCTCCCAGGTGTTGGGGATATAGCTCACTGGCAGAGCTCTTGGCTTGCACATCTGACAGCATGGGTTTGATCCTTAGCACTGCAAAAAAACTAAAAATAAGGCTGGCCATAGTGGCACACACCTGTATTCCTAGCTGCTCAGGAGACTGAAGGAGAGTTGCGGGTGTGAGGCTAGCCTAAAGAACTTAGCTTGAGACCTTGTCTCAAAATAAAAAATGTAACGATCTGAGGATGTAGCTCAGTGCAAGGCTCTAGGTTTAATCCCCAGTACCACAATTAATATTTAAATATCTGAAGTTTTTACAGAATATTTTAAATAAAAATAAAATGAGAATGCTGGGTTTAGGTATGTATATCAGTGCTGGACGTGTGCTTAGCATATGCAAAACTTGGTTTCAATCCCAAGCACACTGCCCCCCAAAAAAACTGCTTAGAAGAGGCTTGTTTTGTCTTTTAAGGATTTAAATGCTTTATAATCATAATTTTATGAATTATATAATAGGAAAAACTAATTATATTTGCTATAAGCAACTTTATTTTGATTTAAATTTTTTTAGTAAATGTGTGTAATGATGTCTTAAATTATGTTAAACTGAGTAGAGTCATGTATGTAGTTAACACATAATTTTTTTTAACAGATATTAGAATGTGAATTCTATCTTTTAGAATTAATGGTAAGTATTTCTTTTCTGTGACTAATAGAATAAAATTTATTTTCAAATTTAATGAAATCAGAAATTAACGAAATGATTTCTAGGGAGGTACATTTAAAAACCATCTAAGTGGTATGTCATGTGATGCTGAAATCATAATTATCTAGTAACATCACCTATCTCCTCTCTGAAGCCTATAAAATAATTGGTATATCCTACTCAGGATGGAAAAAATTTTCTATTCTATAGTAACTATAACAGGATTATAACCAAACAAGTCAGGACATTAAACCACTGTAAATAATGCACACAGTTTGTGTATGTGTGTGGTGTTATTTAAAGATAGATTGTCTTTGGCGGAATTCTGTTCCTCCAGTTGGGAATTATGGATTTATAGGCTAATAAGAGGTTTCAGTGTGTTGCAGATGTGACACTTTGAGTCTCTAAGGGAATGAATGGATGCTGACTGACTGCCAACCGATTTACCAAGGTATATTTCAGAGAGAGCCCTGCTTTCTCTATTACAGTAGTTTAGGGCTGCCATAGGACTTGCTTAGAAGACTAGAAGGGAAGCAAGCATGAGTTAGAGAAATTCATTTTGAAAAACACAAATACAAATCAGTTGGGTAATGATATCGTTCTTTGTGTTGTAATCTGTTTTTATACATACACATTTTTTAAACTGTTTCTAGGATTGTTGCTTGATAGTGTATCATCCTTATAGACCTTTGCTCCAGTATGTGCAGGACATGGGCCAAGAAGACATGTTGCTTCCCCTTGCATGGTAATTAGAACAGAAGTTATTAATAGTGTGACATGTTAATCAGACAGGGAGGCTGACAGCTAAATGTGAAGTTTGGTATTTTTACAGTCATTAAACTAGTGTCCCAAGGTATTTTATGTTGAGCAAAATACTTGTTTAGTGAATTTTAATAACTATGATAGTAAAAATGCTAGAATGATTGTACATTATCTTTTTGCTAAATATACCTGTTAAAATTTTATTTGTATGAATAAGACTATTTTCATGAAAATTAGAAGTGAATTTATCTTTAAAATAACCAGTATGTTTCTGTAGTATTCACCATACATATAATTTTATTTTCTTTTTTCTTTTTTTAAAGTGATTTTCAGATTTTTAAAAAAATTACAAACCAGGCATGATGGCATATGTCTGTAATCACAGCACTCAGGAGGCTGAGGCAGGAGGATGGCCATGAGTTCAAGGCCAGCTTGGGCTACATAATAAGTTCAAGACCAGCCTGAACTACATAGTGAGACCCTGTCTCAAAAAACAAAACAAAATTACAAATGTGTTTATTTTATATTGTAATTATGAGGTTTCAGAGTTTTAAATATATTTTATTCACTAGTATATAAATTTTCTATTCAGTAATGTGTACTTACTTGTTGTCACATTTGTGCATCTATCCTTTGCCTTGATGTTTTCATCTTTGTAGCTGTGCTCAGTAATGGAAAGGGGGAAAAAAATGTGTACAAAGATAGGAAATCTGACCCTCTCTGGGAGAAAATGTACAATGAGATAAAGTAGTTCTGCTTTCCATAATAATATGATTTACATTTCTATAGGAGGATAGTGAATGATACCTACAGAACGGATCTTTGCCTACTGTATCCTCCTTTCATGATAGCTTTAGGTATGTAAGCGTGGTGTGCCTTTATTAATTAAATTGTTATAAACCTAGTTAGGTCATCATAAAATAAATTTCATTCTATCTTACTTTGTTTTTATATTCCATAAAGTAATAGACTAATTCTTGCATGTGAACTTTGCATAATATGAACTGCCACTGTCACAAATCACAATTATTGCCCTACCCCACCCCCCTTTTTTGGCAGGTTTTTTTTTTTTAAACATTTAAAATTATTTTAATCTGTTTAAATAGAACATTTTTGTTTGCTTAGGGACAGAAGCTCAGAATTAACCCTGCCAGTATTAGTTGGAAGTCTTGTAACTGGGATTATTTTTTAATTCCTGAGTGCAGTTAAGTACTCAGGGGTTGAGTAAAAGAGTATCTTTGATCCTGTCTCGCTAGAGGAAGAGTTATCAACCATTTCACTGTCTAGGGAAGGCAGAGCAATAATGGGGTAAAACTCAGTCTTTGGAGTCACATAGTCTCAGGTTTAAACTTTGGTTCCTCTACGGCTGTGAGGAGATTACTTAAACTTGCTGAGTTCGTTTCTTTCATGGATACTAATAACTTCAAATAGAGTTATTTCAGGAGTTAAATGAGATAGCCTGTAGAGTACTAAATAATGCCTACTAGATCCCCCAAGCATTTGTTAGCTTCTGTGCCTTTTGCTTCTTCTATGTTCGTGACTCAATCCTCTTAGCTTTTCCTGTTCTTTCACCAGATTTATTTTTATTGGTTTCCATTTTCAATTATTCCTTAAATATTGGTGTTTTCTAGCCTTCTTACATCAGGTATGACAAATAGTTATTACTTATACTTCTGTAGCACTGGCAGCTCTTAAAAAGTACTGCATATGGGGGCTGGGGATTTAGCTTAGTGGTTTCACCGCCTGCTGTGCAAGCTCAAGGACCCGAGTTCGATCCCCAGTACCCCGCCCCCCCAAATAAAAAACAGAAAACATGTACATTAATAAAAATTAAAAAATAAAAATAAAAAAGTATTGCATATGGAGATATTCTGAAGTAGTATCTCGATTCAATGGGAAGAAGTACTGGGATCTGCATAGGTAGGAAGGAGGGGATAATAGAACATATGCCATGGCTTTACCATCCCTGTGGCTCTTATTCTTCCAAGGTAGTCTTCCTGAGGTTTATACCTTCTCTTACATGACAAAACATTTAAATTTATTTAGCCAAGATCTTGCTCCTAGCATTTCTTTATGTCCATTAGCCTTTTACATAGCTTCACTTGGTATCTCTCCACCACCTCAGACTCATAATCAGGACTGATGAACCCATCACTTGGCCCCCAAATATGTTCCTCCTTTTAATGTCTTTGCCAGCTTGGTGTGAATAGCACTAGGTAGGTATCTTGGTGAGAAATCTAGCAGTGGCTCTTTTATCTCCCTTGATAGCTATGTCTGGTTGGTTAACAGTACTTTCTGTGTCTTCCTCTCAGTTGTCCCTTTTATAATCTCTTTCTGATTTCCATCTAGTTTAGCACAGCAATCTCCTAGCTAATTGACTGGTCGCCAGCATCCATGTGCTCAAGAGAGCCAGTCTGTCCTCTGTACTGTTAAGCTAGCCTGGTGGTTTTCAGTGGGGGATAATTTTGCCTCCTGGAGGATATTTATTTGGCAACGTCTGAAGATGATTTCAGTTGTCAACTAAGGTAGGATGCTACTGGCACCTGGTGGGTAGAAGCCAGGTTGCTGCTAACCATACTATAGTGCATAAGACAGACTCAAAGAATTGTCCAATCAAAAATGACTATAGTGTCAAAGCTGAGGAACCCTGAGCTAGAATGAACTTTTAAAAAAATGAATATGTCTCCCATTTAAACCTTTCAGTGCTCTCAATTGCTGGATAAAATCTGCAGTTGCTTTTTACCATTCTCCTACTCTCACCTTCTTTTTAAAGACTTGGCTCAGATTATACTTTTTTTAGTGACATCCTTCCTCCCTTCCCTCTCAAAGTCATTTCAGTGATTTCAAATGATTTCTCAACATCATTCCAGTGTGATTTTAGGATGTCTTCTCACTGTGTAGTTTACTCCATATATGTGCCTGTCATGACATTTTTCCATTGTATGTTAAGGGCTTGTTTTTATTTTTTCCATCCTTTGGCCTCTCGGTCTCTTCTGAACCTACTTTGTAGCCTCCTTTGACTCAGGGCAGGTGTATGTCAGTCCACACTGGTGATGGGACTTGCTGCTGGCACACGATCCTGGCAAGTGCTCTACTGCCAAGCTGCGTATGGCCCCAGCCCCTCGAGGGGCTGTTTACCTATAGTGTCATCCTTAGCAGAGTAATACGACTGACCAGACCAGGAAGTTTAACTTATTTTTTTGGTACCCAGGATCAAACTCAAGACCTTGTGCTTGCAAGGCAGGTGTGGTGCCACTGAACTACATCCCCAGCCCATGGAGTATAACTCTTAAGCTGCTGTGGGATGCAGGGTCACCGGGCTGCATAGTAGGAATTGTTTTAGGCAAAACTGTATGTAGATAAGTGTGTTGGGGCTCTTTTACTATCTTTGTTATTTAGGTTGTATATAATATATATAATTGTGTTCTATACAATTATTCTTTTTTTTCTAACCTATATTTGATTATAACACTGAATTCAGCTATCACATAATTTGATCATGTGCTAATAATTTCAAAAGCAAAAAAAAGTAGAGGTAACATTGCTTTTAATTGAAATAGCAAAATAATAGTCATTGTTGAAACATCAACATATTGATAGGCAGGAGGGTTGTTTTTGTCACACTGACTTCTGGGTGCAGTTCGATTACTTTGTTCTACTGATCAGAAATGACTTTCCTGTTCACATCTTCTCTAACATGCCCTCTTTAAGGGATCTGCACCATGACTAGTACACAGCAAAGGAGCAGATGTCAAGAACCTTAGTCTAGTAATTTTTTCTACCTATTTCAGATTAAATTAATGAGATGGTTAACAGTAACTCTTAAATGTAGCTGTATAATTTTTTTAAATACTATTAGAAAATTTACATGAAATCTGTGAGAATCTTTAGTTCTAAGACCATGTTTGCAGTTAAACATGAGCAGTTATCACCCATTTTCCTTGCAGCTTGTCTACATGTAGCCTGTGTGGTACAGCAGAAAGATGCCAGGCAGTGGTTTGCTGAGCTTTCTGTGGATATGGAGAAGGTATTCTTTAAGATTATTTTAACTTGGACATTTAAAAATTCATGTCATTTTTATATTATAAGCCTAAAATCATAAACTGCCCATCAGACTAAGATTATTGGTTAAAAAATACTAAATATATGTTTGGTGAGAAGAGTTGATGTTGGTTAGTTATGTTTTTGGCTTTAGAGTTAATAGAATGGTAAACTTTTGGTTTGATTGGTTGCAAAGTAACCTCTGACTTGCAGGGTTATTTTCAAAGCTTCCTAGTGACTGTTAAATGTTACTGTAAACTTTTTTGTAACAGTCTATCCCTGGAAAATGATGTTTTCAACTTTTCTGCTCATATATTGAAAATATTAAAATTAATCCAAAGCAAGGTCTACTTAGGTCAAGAGGAAAGGGCTAAATTGGAAGTTGGATTGATAGATTGCAGCTACAACTTTGTCTTAATTTACATGTAGAATAATTAAAAGAGAATCTAAACAATGTCTTGTATGTACTACCTACCCTTAAACCCCTGTTGGGGTTTTGTTTTGTTTTTTAAGACAGGGTCTCACTATGTAGTTCAGGCTGGTCTTGAACTCACTGTGTAGCCCAGACTGGCCTCAAACTCAAGGTGATCCTCCTGCCTCAGCTTCTTGAGTGCTGAGATTACAGGTGTGCACCACCACACCCAGCTCCCCTTAAATTATTTTGATTTTTCTGTTGGGTTTTTGTTTTTGTTTTTGTTTTTTGTACTTGGGATCAAACTCAGGACCTTGCACTTGCCACTGAGCTACATCCCCAGCTCCTTAAATTATTTTGAAACAATTGATATTAGAGAATATGCTCTATTGTAGCAGATCCCTTATGATTAGAATCTTTGTTGTTAGTGCTTTACTGTTTTGTTTGGTTTAAGATATTAGCAGAGAAGGGGAAATAACTGATTCAGTAAGAATGGATAAGGAATACATGTTGAAAGATAAGAGGCTAGGAGGAAAAGCCTAAGCAGCAGGATGGTGAAAATTACTGCTTTCAAATTTAAGATTGTCTAACCTAACCGGAATACCTAGGCACAGAGACTTTTTACTGTTTTTTTGAAGGATGCCTTGCATGTGATATGTGTTCTTTATTTACTAAATGTTGCTAGTTTTTGCCACTGAGAATTTTTTAAATGTTTTCTTCTAGATTTTGGAAATAATCAGGGTTATTTTAAAACTATATGAGCAGTGGAAGAATTTCGATGAGAGAAAAGAGATGGCAACTATTCTTAGTAAGATGCCAAAACCAAAACCACCTCCAAACAGGTACTTTGTAGACATTTAATTATTGATCTCGTTTTATATATTGTATTCATTTCTGATCTTTCTTAGATTATTTTTCTGTTATTAAAACTTCTACCAAAACTTCATAATTCACGTTAATTTTTTCAGTTTGCGACTTGACACTTTGAAAATGTTTCATTTTTAAAAACATACTAATTTGAACATTTTTGCTAACTTATTAGAGGTCTATTACAGGTATCCCTCAACATATAGCTACATACTGTACATAAACTCAAGTAGTTCTGTATTAGTTTGTCTCTGTGCCTTCTTTTTTTATTCCTTCTCCCCTACTACTGGCTATTACTCTAGTTTATAAATTTCAGTAGCAGTTTTCAAAAATTTCAGCGAGTGATCTGATATGGTGAAGATAAAGAATTTTGGCTTTGTGTAAACCTGTGATCCACAGCGCACAATAACATCATTTTGCTAAATATGAATCACCTATGCTAAGAGGTTTGTTATTGTTTTAAGTGGGATCTGTTTGATTTATTCAGTTGTTCCGAGCCCTTGCTGTATATCTATATCAGATCATTTGGAGTAGGGAAAAAGGTGAGAAGGAAAATAAATGGTACCCATCTTTATCTTTTATCTAGACAGGTAATCATAAAACATTAACAGATTTTATATATTGCTGCTGATTAAATTAATGTTACAATTTGGAAAGGAATAATACTTACACAAGGAGCTGTTTAAGGCAGCCATTCAAACAGCTACCTTTGGATGCATTTTTTGCAGAAATTCCCTGAGTGATTCTCCACTAGTGGCAGGGCCTGAAGCTGCAAGATGATGGTGGAGAAGATAAGGCAATAATCCTATTGCCACAGTTACTGGTATTTTCAGCTTTAGTTTTTATTTTAAATATTCAGTATTTTACAGAAAATTACCATTTTTTTCTGACTTATAAAAGTTTGCTGTAATTACATATGATTTTATCATGCCATTGTACAACCTTTTTTTTGAAGGACACTTGATTTTCCTAAATAATAGATATAGGAATTTATATGTTAAATTTAATTTCATAGGAAATTTGTTCAGAAGAAGCTGTAATCTCTATGTTGAGTGATACCTGTAATAACAGTGAAACCCCATACTCTAAAATTTTTTAGTGTATATGGACACTAACATTCAGACTGCTTGTTATGTGTGAGAGCGCAAAGTTACATAAGAATAAAAACATACAACCAAATGTTAGTCTTCTGGATTTTAATTTTTCCACATCAGTGTCTCTAACTATAAAAGTATCCTCTTTGGAATATTTTTGTTTTGTAGAGTTATGCCACAAAATAATGAACTTCAGAAATTAGTAAGCTTATCTGTGCTAGAAATGAACCTTTTAATTAGTATAAAATCTCTTTCTTCCCCATTTGAACAGTGAAGGAGAGCAGGGTCCAAATGGAAGTCAGAACTCTAGCTACAGCCAATCTTAAAACATTCCGAAGAATTCCATAGTGGACCTCTTGGAAATAAACCATTGGACAGATTTCAGTAATGTCTTCAGTGGAACACAAATGAAAATGAATAGCTTGTTTCTGTCAAGCAATATTGGGAAGTGATTTTATTTTTGAAAAATAAGTTTTTCTTTACCTAATTTGATTTTAATACATAATTGATTAAAATCTCTTCGTTATAAAAGTTGAGAAAGGGTCTGGGGATTTACCTCAGTGGTTCTGCTGCCTGCCTCACAAGCACAAGGACCTGAGTTCAATCCCTGGTACCAAAAAAAAAAAAGTTGAGAAAGGTTCTGAGGGAACCTACAGACAGACATACATAGATATTTCAAAATTAGTAGCTTTTGCTTAGTATACTACTTCTTAATTTGTATAATAAAAATTGTAGCTTTTTATTATGTCAGGAAACAAAACATGATTTGTTTAAAATTCTCTTTGGTCATTGAGAGACCAAAAAAGGACATAAAAAGATCAATATATGAGGGTTTTTATCCCCTCTGTACTTTAAACTTTAAAACTATTTAAGGAATCAAACCTTACAAAAATCCTAGAAATAATCAGGGAAATTAATCAAGTACTTACTGGTTTTTAAAATGTATTTTATTAAGTAGTTTTGGTATCTTGCCATGGAAGATACTAGCCCTGTCTAGCAGAAGAGTGCAATATGTATAGCATAATTTTGACGTTTTAAAAGTTACATTAATTCCATAACTATTTTGAAATGCTGGGAAAATTTTAAAAAGCAATCCATATCAAGTGATTTGCAATTAATTTGCAGTTAAACAGGCATTTTGAAAATTGAATAAAATACCATAATAAGGTTAAAATTTGGTAAAATCTTTGTTAATTTTTAGCTGTGAAAAGTTTTTAAAATAAAATTAATACATCGTAGTTTAATTTTGTGTCTTAGTGTGGACATATAAATTTATTGCAGGTATCCTGAGCCAGGAACACAATCAGGTTTCAGGCCAGTTTGATACTGGCTATTATTCTGACAAGTGTAGGATTTCAGACTAAATGTTATGTCAGTAGGACTGTGCTGTCTGTGAAACCTAATAAATTAATCATTTTCTTCATACTTGAAGGAGAGTGATAAATAAAACTTGGAGTCATAGGATATTAATGTACGATTTAAAGATTAAAAATTTTTATAGCTTGTGAACAATGGATTATTCAGTGTTGACTTCCTAGTATAAAACAAGAATAAAAGTACATTCTCCATCCATACTGACTAGCGTCTTGAATTCATTGTCTTGAATTTATTGTGTATTGTTTTCTGAGATTCTTTCTTTAGATAAGTATTTATAGCTCAGTGGTTTTGCTGCCTGCTGCGCAAGTGCAAGGACCCGAGTTCGATCCCTGGTACCAAAAAAAAAAAAAAAAGATAAGTATTTAAAAGTTCTTGTTTCCAAGATTTAAATAAGGACTACACATTGCACTTTATTCATTAGTCTCTAAGTTTTTTTAAATTCATGGATCCTCCATTTCATTTTCAAAAATTTCCATTTTGGTTTACTTGTCTACTGGAAGTTTACCACAACCTGAATTTTGCTGATTATATCCTTGACGTGTCATTTAACATGGTTTTCTTCTCTATTTTTGGTAAATCGGTAAATTAAATTGACAGGGTTCATCATACATAGGGGTTTTTTATACACTACTGTATAAAGTGGTAGTCTTCCATCAGGAAGCAGTGATTTATCAACCACTGATGATGGGTTTTTTTGTTTGTTTTGTTTTGTTTTTTGAGACAGGCTCTCACTGTGTAGTTCAGGATGGTCTTGAACTCACTATGTAGTCCATGCTGACCTCAAACTTGTGGCAATCCTCCTGGCTCAGCCTCCTACATGCTGGGATTTTACAGGCGTATGTGACCACCCCTGGCTAATGATGTATATTGCTAAAAATTAAATATTAGCATACTACACTGACTATTATGATAGCCACTAGCCACTTGTGGCTATTGAACATTTAAAATGTGGCTAGTCTGAATTGAGATATGCTCAAAATGTAAAAATACTGTACACACTGGATTTCAAATACTTAATACAAAACAAAAAAATGTAAAATATCAATTTGTTTATAATGATTACATATTTTAAATGATGTTTGGATATATAGGGTTAAATTAAACATTAAGATTTTACCTTTTTTTTTTAAATAGACAATTTAAAAACAACACCTTGCATTGGACAGCGCTGCTACATCATAAGGAAAATGTTAGACCTTTGTCTTATTCCACCAACCTCTTATTTCCACTCCCTACTCTTCCTTTTGACTTTGTCATTCCTCTATTGTTTACTTCCACATTTACATGTAACAGCTTTCTTTTTTTTTTTGGTACCAGGGATTGAACTCTGGTCCTTGGTGCTTGCGAGGCAGGCGGCAGAACCACTGAGCTAAATCCCCGGCCCAGCAGCTTTTAATTATAGCATTTATTGTGTGCCAAGTATGGTGTATACTGTGCATTTATTAGTCATTTCTCAGAACAGTCATTTTGGAGATGAGTCTCAAAAAAGGATAAGTAACCCAGTTACAGATGAAGTGACAGGTTTTTTTGGGGGTGTGGGTACCAGGGATCGAACTCGGGACCTTGTGCTTTCGAGGCAGGTGGTGGAACCACTGAGCTAAATCCCCGGCCCTATTCTGTATGTTTTAAAATTATGTTGAACTATATTTGTGTAATTTGCTTTTTCTCTCAACATTATGAGTTATCCATGTACTTCTGTTTCTTTTAACTAATTTTCACATCAGCTGTGTCTAATCTGCTGTTAAACCCATTTACTATGTTGTTCAGTTTCAGTTGTTTTTTTTTAAGTCTACAGTTTCAATATGATACTTTTCTGTTTCCATTGTTCTGATAAACTTTTTGTCATTAAATGATTGAATATATAAAGCACAGTTAATTTAAAGTCTGTCTGAAAATTCCAGTATGTAGATTGGTGCATCTGTTACGGCTTGTATCTAGATCTCCCCCCAAAGCCTCATGCACTCATAGGTGGGGCTTTTCAGAGCTGGGTGGATCTAGAGTATGATACTGGTATTAAGATTGTGATGCTGGGATTAAGGGTGCCTCACCTTGGGTGCAGGTGGCACCACCCAAAGGGTGGGTAGCCTGGAAGGAATATAAAAGGACAGAAAGAAGGCCAACTGCTGCTGTGGCTTCTGCTTGTTGCTGCTACTGCTACCTCCTGCTTTTTGCCTGCCCTGCCCCGCCGTGGACTGTCTCCTCTGCCATGTTCCTCTGTCACTGCACCCTGCCTTGGAGCCAGCCAATTATGGACTGAACCCTCTACAAACTGAGCTGAAATAACCTTTCCTCCTTTAACTTTGGGGGTTGGGTATTTTGTCTCAGCAAAGAGAAAAGTAAGACAATCTGTTTCTATTGTGTCTTTTTTTCCTCTGTTATCAATCATTGGGCCCAGTTTACCTAGTGTTGTGTCTACTTAGCTTTGATATAATTCTGAATATTGTCTGTGAAAGGTTATAGGGATAATTTGTGGCTCTGGCTCAGTAGACTATAAATTGCCCATAGACCAAATCTAGCCTACCACCTTTTCTTGTATGTGTGTGGTCTGGCTTAAAAATAATGCGAAGAACAGTATTTGGCAACACATGAAACTTAAAACCTAAGTGTCTATAAAAAGTTTTTATTGGAATATTGTCACAGTTGTTCACATTTTACTTTTGTTGTGCTTCACTAGTATATTTGAGTAGCGATAGAATCCAGTGACCACAAGCCTAGTTATTTATATTGTGCTTTGTTTTGTTTTTTGAGACAGTGTACCTCTAGACAGTGCAGGCTGGCCTTGAACTCACTATGCAGCCCAGGCTGACCTTGAACTCAGGGTGATCCTCCTATCCTCTTGCCTCAGCCTCCAGAGTGCTGGGATTACAGGTGTGCACCACCATGCCTAGCCAAGCCTAGTTATTTATAAACTATTGTCAATCCCTGCTCTACCTAGAAAACTGTAATTTTCACCAGAAAGGGTTTAATACTGGTAGGCCCTTCAGGTGTCAGGAAAATCACATTGATTCTTTCAGTATTCAGTTGATTCACAGTTTTAAGTTTGTGAGGACTGGTCAATTTCTGGCTCATGTCCACTTAGTGCTTCAAAGTAAAAATCTGGAGTATTTACCCAGGCTCCTATTCCTTGCCAGGCCCAGTACTTTAGTATTCACTGATCCTCTACAACTTTCCTTCTGAGATTATAGCTCCTCAGATTCTTGCTGTTTCAGTGCTTAATGCCTTTATACATACCATTTGTGTGTATTTCCCAGCTTTTTGAGTTCTGGTAGCTTGGTTTGCAAGAAACTACATGGACATTGTTAGAAGTTTAAGGCAATCACATCTCCAGATTCTCCAGTGGCTTTCCATCTCATTTCGGACCAATCAAGTCCTTAGGGTTTGTTGCTAGGACTTGCATGATCTGAATGATACATGAATGCGAGTAAAAACATGGGTCTGATAAAGCACTGGTTTATTTTGCTACTGGTGTACTAGCAAAAAAGTGTAGGACTTAACATTCCAAAGAAATATACCCATGCTTGTGAGACTCACATGTAGACATTTTTTCTATTTTCATTATTTTTAGATTGAAATATCCTTATAAAAAAACATACAATTTTTGTGTTTACTTCAGAGACTTTTGAAAACAGATTCCTGTGTACCAATAACTGAGCTGAGAGAGAACATTTCTATCAAAGTTCTCTCCTTCCCTCTTCTAGTTAATCTGCCTGCCACAGATGTAACCATTATTCTGATTTCTAGCCCCATGTTAATCATACTAACTTAAATTTTTTAAATTGTAAATTGTATCAGTGCTATTCTGGTCACAGCACTGCCTTGAGTCTTTGGATGATATTAATGTATTTTCATCATTCAAATCTGGATCCCAGATTCTTGATTTTTTGACTTAAAGGTCAAGTCTACTTGTTAATCTACTGTCAACTTCATAGGCTCTTTGATGAATAGAACCTGTATTAACCCAAATGGCCACACAAGACTAGATACTACAAGTAACCTAGTCTTTTGGAATACTATTATTGAACTGTGCTAAACTACTTAAAAATTAACTCCTAGAATCCAAACAGGTATTTCCAGAGCAAGTCACATCTATTATTTCAATCCTCAGTAGCCTTTGAAAATGATCAGCTGGGGGAAGGGGAGGACATTATTTTCAATTTATAGATGAGAAAAAGATTGAACAAGTAAGTGGCTTATATAGAATCACCTTACCATTAACCATTGGTGTCAGGACTAGATTTCTCTTATGTTCATTCCATTGTCCTAGGCTGCATGTACACAAAGAACTTGCATTCCAAAATTTAATTTCCTTGTTTCTTCTCTGAAAATTCATAGGTTACCCATTCCTTCCATCCTCCAGCATAAAGTTTAGCAATGAAAATGTACATCAAATAGTGTTACAAACATTTTCTCTTGTTTTATAACAGAAAGTTGATAGGAACTTTAGAGATAATGCAATTACCATATTATTTAAATTCTAAGCCTATTTAATAGATTGTGATGCTTTTAAGTAAGATGAAAAGTAATACACTCTTAGTTTCATTATCCTGTCTTTATTAACAGTAGTTATAAGGCAGCTGTTGTGGTGGTGGTGGTGGTGGTATGTTTGTGTGTGGTGCTGGGAAATGAGCCCCAGGCTTTGTGCACACTTAACACATGCTCTACCACTGAGCTATATTCCCAGCCCTAAGAAATTCTTAAGTACATCAAGAAAAATGTCATTAAGTGAATGTATGTGAAACATTTCAGTACACACTCTTCAATCCATTTTTTCTTCTATGTACCTATTAAAGCCCAGAGATCTTGCTGTGTCCAGAGCTGCCTGCTTCTTACTCCTGCTAAACAGGAAAACACTAGACTATCTGACTTGGATGGCTTTACTTCATGGTACTTCTCTTTGAAGTCTCTTGAGTCCATCTGTAGAGCTTCACTTACTTCATGCACTGAAATGAAATGTTAAGAATTTTAATTAAATTTTGGATACAATAAGTTATTGGACATTTTTTTCAGCTTAAGATATATGTCACATGGTATATTGATAGATCCAGGAATCTTTCCATATTCAAGAATTTCCCATTTCTCTCTAACATCAATTAGCATAATATTTTTGGAACTCAACAGGTTTTTAAGTTCTTTATAAGTGACATCCTTAGAAACAGTACAAAAATTATGGCAGGTTCCCTTTATTGACTTCAAATCTAGTGGGGGAAAAAAACCAATTTCAGCTAGGTATGGGCATGTACCTGAAATCCCAGCCCTCTGGCAGCCGAGGCCAAAGAATCACAAATTCAAGCCCAGCCTGGACAACTTAGTGAGACCCTGTCTCAAAATAAGCAATATAAAGGGCTGGGGATGTAACTGCTCAGCATGAATGTGCTGGGTTCAATACTCAGTACCACACACCCACAATAATAATAATAAAATAGTTTCAGCCCCATTCTTCATCCTCTAGGGAGTGGAATTGGAGAATGAGGTAATAGCCAGTCATGCTTACACGATAAAGCTGCCATAAGAAACCCCTCAACTACGAGTTCTGAGAGCTTCTGGGTTGGTTAATACATCCATGTGCGGGGAGGATGGTGCATCGCAATGCCACAGGGACAGAGCCTCCTGAGCTCAGCCCTCCAGACCTTACCATGTACTTCTCCCTCTGGTTAGCTACCTGTGTCCTTTGTCATTCCCTTTAACCACTTAACAGTTTACCCAGAGGGTCACTTGGGCAGCGAGTTTGTGGATGTACTGACTGTCCCAGGTGTCACTTGGGCAGGTGTCATTTCAACAAGTTGATTCTTGCATTAAATAAATTTGATAAAATTGTCATTTTTGTATTTCCTGTTTTATTATCTTATAAAAGTGAACAAAATTAGCCAATTTTTGGTCATCCTGTATTTAAATAATTGGACTGGTACATGGTTAAACTGATAAAGCTGTTTCCCTAAATTCTGTTAGCCATTCTAGCAAATTATTGAACCTGAGGAAGGGGTCATAGAAACCTTTGTTTTACAGCCAGTTGATCAGAACTATGAGAAGTGCGGACTTTCGACTTGTGTCTGAAGAAGAGACTGTCTTGCTGGACAGGCCTTAAGCTGTGATGTCAATTCCTCTTAGTACAGTAGTTCAAAGTTAAATTGTAGAACACTCAGTTGGTATCCACAGAGAACTTCTTGGTGTAGAAAACCCACACCTTTGGTGTCAGAAGTGTTTCTAGAAGGAATGGAGAAATAGCTCCATGGTAGAATGCTTGCCTAGCATAAATGAGGCCCCAAGTTCAATCCTCAGCACTGGGGGGAAAAAACGTTGTGAGTACAATACAGAAAAAATTTTCAACTTATAATCATACCCTGACTCTGAAAGAAAGATCCAAGCTAAAAAAAAAAAAAAAAGGAAAGATCCAAGCTGTCCTTTTGCCACCATGCTTAATGGCTGACCTGCTAGCTCCATATTCTACTCTCTGGAAGCCCTTTAATTAGCAAGAGTTTGTATATATTAAGCATTTGGTAACACTTGTGGAAATAGTTTGTTAATCTTATTCTAATCCATTGCAATGTTAATAAATTTTAATTTCATTTCCCCTTTCAAGCAAAGATAGTAAATCATAGATGTGGAGAACTTACATTTTAAATTACATTTGTAAGTACTAAATGGTAATGTTTCTTTCTTTTTTTTTTTTTTTTTTTTTGGTACCAGAAATCAAACTCGGGTCCTTGCACTTGGCAAGGCGGGCGGCAGAACCACTAAGCTAAATCCCCGGCCCTGTTTCTTTCTCTCTTAAATAACTGGTAACATAATATAATACTAGATAACAACTCATAAGAGAAATCCATAGTCCAAACTGATAATAAGGATATATCTGAATAAAGGATGCTCTTCCTTATATCAGAATCCTACTTGATAAACGCAGAAGAAATGATGGAAACAAAATCATGGGCAGACACTCCAGTAAGAATTGTTGCTCTGATAGGTCTAGATTTGATGGGTAAAACTGATGAGAAATGGGATATTTCCCCTTGACATGTTTATTAATTACAAAGGTAGAAAATTGAGACACCATTTAAACCAATTCAAAAACTTCACTGTTGGGCCGGGGATTTAGCTCAGTGGTTGAGCCGCCTGCCTCACAAGCGCAACATCCCGAATTCGATCCCCGGTACCAAAAAAACAAAACAAAACAAAAACTTCACTGTTAATAAGATGTTGATAGGGGCCAGGGATTTAGCTCAGTGGTTTTGCCGCCTACTGCACAAGCACAAGGACCCGAGTTCGATCCCCGGTACCAAAAAAAATAATAATAAAAGATGTTGACAATATGTAGTTTCTTGAGTTCCTGATACAATGCACTGAGAACACACCACTTCTTGGTATCCTCGCCCAAAATGCATCCCCTAATCAGAATTTAATAAGAAAACCTCAGAACAAATCCAACATACAAAAAATAAATAAATAAGCTCAGGTATGGTGGCACATGCTGATATAGGAGACTGAGGCAGGAAGATTGTAGCAAGTTCAAGGCCAGCCTGGGCTACACAGCAGGACCCTGTCTCAAAATACCAAAAACAAAACAAAACAAAACAAAAATACCAAATAACCAGTACTCTTAAAAACTATCAACATCATGAAAGATAAAAACTGGAACTGTAAGGCTAGAGCAGACTAAGAAGACGCGATAATAATGCAATGTAGGATCCTAGGTTTGGTCTGAGGCTATAGAAAGACCTATTAATGTGAAAATTGGTGAAGTTTAATGTGGAGGATTTAATAGTATTATATAAATAATAATTTCCTGATCATGATGGTATTAAGTACAATGTGTACGTGAGGAGAAACTGAGTGAGATTAAAGGAAACTGTTTTGCATTTGTAACTCTTCCAGAGGTCTAAAATTATTTAAACAAAGAAAATTAAAAGATTTTGAAAGAAGCCAAAGAAGTTGTTAATATTCATATTTTGCAACAAAAAGACTACTACAAAAAGGTAAATAATGATATATCAGGGGTGGGAATAGGAGGCAATGCCTCAAATTTTGTTTAAAGTATTACATATAAAGTGAAATTGAGGGAGGGAAGGAGAGAGGGAGGGAGGGAGGGGAAAAAAAGGTCCATTGCCAGTCAAAGTTCTTTGCAACCCATTTTGGGGGTGCTAGGAGGCCTCAGGGTCCAAAGATCTTCTGGTTGTGGCCAACTGCCAAGGAGAGGAGGAAACTGAGGCATGAAGTTTCACACAGATAAGTAACTTTTTGCAGATCTGGTAGCTAAAAAGCAGCAAAGCTGGGGTTTGGATCCAAGATTCCTATGAAGGAATGATAAATGTTTGAAGTGAGATATGTTAATTACCCTAAATGGATCATTACACAATGTTTGCAGGTATCAAAATGAGGCATTCTACCCCATAAATATGTACAATTATTTGTCAATTTAAATAAATTGAAAGAAAAAAACACACTCCTAAATCAGGTTTCTGTTTGTTTTTGTGTTGAGATATGCTTAGTAACTAAGAGTACCAGAGACAACCTTATGAGAATGACCTCATGTTATTTATCTTAAAATATTATATATACAGTGTTTCTCAGAAGAACCAAAGCTACTTTTAAAGATTGGACATTTATAGCATTTTGGCATCTTCCAAAAGAAAACTGATCTTTGTTCTTGTGATAAAGAGATTTAGTATTTTGGAAAAGAAGGGAAGAGGAAAAGGAGGAAGAGGAGAAAAAAAGGAGATCCACGGCGTATCTAATATGAGAATTCTGTGCCTGTGAACAGTAATATCAAATTAATGGGGAAGAGATAGTTTATTCAACAAATAATATAGAGCAGCTACTTAGGAGAAAACTTTAAGCAAGTAAAATGACCTCATTTCTTATGCTTAAATTCCAAATTCAAATCTAAAAGCTAACATGTTAAAAGTGCTAATAGTGCTTTCAATAGTGGATAAGTGGATAATTTAAACCCTGGAAAGGAAGGCCATCCTAAAAATGACACAAAAAGCAGAAGGTATAAAGGTTTGTTCTCACAAAAATGCTAAATTTATATGCAGAAAATGTATGACAACAATTTGAAGACAGTTGGCAGTCAGAAAATATTTGTAACCTAGAAAAGACAAATGATTAGCATTAATTAAATAGAAAGAACTCAAATAACTAGGAAAAGAACAAAAATCCCAGTAGAAAAACAGTGAAAATATATGAAGAGGGAATTGATATGAGAAATACAAATGAGAAATACAACTGATGCGAGAAATACAATAAAATGAGAAAAGTTGCCCAATTTCACTGAATTAAGAAAACACAGGAGTTCAACAAAACTTTGTATCCAGCTTGTAATCCAGTCTCGTAATAGCAAATTTTTTTTTTTTTGGTACCAGGTATCAAATTTGGGATCTTGCGCTTGCGAGGCAGGCGGCAGCACCACTGAGCTAAATCACCAGCCCCTGGAAATAGCAAATATTAATAAGGGGCTGAGGAGATGAGGACTCTCAGAACAGTGTATAATTTTACAAACTTTTAAAGAGAAATTCAGCGGTAACACTTTAAGTATGCATATCTTTTTTGCCTCATGATTTTACTTTTAGAACTCTATCCTATAGGAATAACAGTATGAATGAATGCAGATGGAGATATGTATAAATATGTTCATTAGCAGCACTCTTAAAGTATTTTTTTTTAAACTACAAATAAGCTAAAAATTCACCAGTAAAGGAATGGCTACATTACAAGTGGTAAATTTATACAATGGAATATTAATTAAGTTGTCCAAAGCACAGTATTAAATGGAAAAAAAAACTATGAAAAATGATAAACCTAACATTCTCAACTCTCTCAGTTCACAGTGCCCTGAATGTTTTAGTTATTTATTTTCAGTCCTCATAGGCTGAAATGCCTGCAATTCCATTTATTAGGTCTAATAGTTAAGAAAAGTCAAAAGCAAAGTATAAGAAAAATATCTGTAGAAACTAGACATTTGTGTTTTCCTTTGTCACTCTCACTAATAGCAAAGTGATGAGAAAATGCACACAGTTATAACAGTTTAAAGATACAGGATTCCAGCAATTCCATTACTAAGTATATACAAAAACAGTTGAAAACGGGCTCAAGGGCTGGGGATTTAGCTCAGTGGTACTGGCACCAGCCTAGCAAGTGCAAAGTGCTGAGTTCCATTCCCAGAGCTGGGGAAAAAAGAAAAGAAAATGGGCTCAAACAGGTATTTGGACACTAACGTGCCTAGCATTATACGCAATAACCAAAAGTGGAAATAACCACTTTTGTTCACCAAAAGTGGGTGGATAGGGCCAGGGATTTAGCTCAGTGGTGCCGCTCCCTGCCTTTAAAATGCAAGGTCCAGAGTTCCCAGCACTCGGGCGGGTGAGGCAGGAGGATTGCTGTGAGTTTGAGGCCAGCCTGGGATACAAAGTGAGTTCAGGGCCAGCCTGAACTACAAAGGGAGACCCTGCCTCAAAAAAACCAAAAAAAAAAAAAAAGGGCGGATGCACAAAATGTGGTATATAGATACATCTGGTTCTTTTTTTTGGTACCGGGGATTGAACTCAGGACCTTGTGCTTGCAAGGCAGGTGGGAGAACCACTGAGCTAAATCCCTGGCTGTGGTGTATAGATACAATGAAATATTAAAGCAGGAGTGAAGTTCAAGACACATGCCACAATATGGACAAAACTTGAAGACATTACTCTAAATAAGACAGACATAAAAAGGACAAATATTATATGATTTCATTTACATGAAATACCTAGAATAGATGCATTCAGAGGCAGGTTAGAAGTTTCCAGGAGTTGGAGGGAGGGATGAGGAGTTAATGCTTAATGGCTATAAGGGTTTCTGTATGAGGTGATAAAAAATTTGTAGTAGAAAGTGGTGATGGTTGCACAACACTGAAAGTGCAATTAATGCAACTGCATTCAACACTAAAAAATGGTTAAAATAGCAAATTTTACATTATGTATATTTTAACAGAATAACGTAAAAATAAAAATACATGTTTTCTCATTTCTTTTAGATTTTGAAAATTTGGTTCATGTTTGTCTACAAAATTAGAACTTAAAACACCTGGAATCAAACTATTTCAGAGTGAGCAGCCTATTTCTCAATGTTAGTAACTGGAAAACTACAGTGATGTCATAAATAATGCCTATTTCTCAATGTTAGTAACTGGAAAACTACAGTGATGTCATAAATAATGTTAAACTCACTTCTGGCATGTACCCATTAGAAAACATAATCATAGTGAGTAACTTGTGAAACTGTATCAAAGACAGTTATGTTTCTCTTGTTGAGTCATCAAACTGACATTTAACTGTCTATAATTCAGCAGTACTTGGGAGGTGGGGGGAAGGAGGAAATAATCAATGAAGACTGGATTTCCTGCCTTTCCACTTAATGAGCAAGAGCTGAAGCAACCATATTCCCTTGATGAGTGTCAGCACCTCCAAACCTCTTATCGTATGCATCTCCATTCCATGCTATTGAATTATTTAAATATATATACATATATATATATATCAATACATCCTCTACTTTTAAATCAATGACTTGATCTGATGCACAAGCAAAGAAACACTGCTCTATTCCTATACAGCGGAAAAACTGGCTATTTGGAATTTGCTGAGAGATAATGTACGGTACTCTTAAGGAATATTTAAAGAGTCATACTGACTGAACCTGGTTTTTACCTTGTGGCCTAACCTTGGAATAATCTGTAATTTTGTTGCTTTCACACTGGTAAATCTAACTTCACCTGGATACTTCCCACAACATACATTATAGGATACAGCCCAGGCTCTTTAATTATTCCTAAAATGCCCTTCAGTGAGGTACTGTGAGGTTTAAATAGTTAATGTATGTACAGTACAATCAATAATTATCTATTTCTACTTTTCCTTCGTGGTTTACACACACTGACCCTTCTGAAGGGAATATTTTTCCCTGGTTTCTATATGGAACATGTCTATGCTCTTTTAAGATCCAGTTAAAAGTTAGTTGTCACCTCTCCTTTAATAATACTGCCTCTAGTACCTATTCTATTAAAATACTTGTTCATATACACAATGATGATTACTGTAGAACTGTTTATAACAGCAAAAACCTGGAAACCAAGACGTTCACCAGTGAGAGGTTAAATAAACTGTAGTCTGTGGAACACATGTGCAGTCAGAAAGCTTCTGAATACCTGAGACAAAGTAACAAAAAAGTATCCACAGGTCACATTTACATGTACAGTAGCTCTGCATGCTGTGTGCTATTAATGTAAATATTCATATAAGTGTTTAGAAAAATGTGTGCCAAATCATATCTCTGGAGAGGAGAGTGGATGGGAAGATGTATAAAGGGGGATTTATAGTGTGCTTCTGTGTTTTAATGAGAATATGAAATAGTCATAGTATTAAAATATTCGTGTAATATTCGCATAACTTCTAAAATGAAAAATTAAACGTTTTCTAACATTTTCTCCAACTCAGGCAGAGTCGGTTTTCCTCTCGTTGCAGTCTTGCTCCACTGGGCTGTGTGTAGTGCTTGTTTACTTGTGTCTTCCTTTTTTTTTTTTTTTTTGGTACCAGGGATCAAACTTGGAACCTTGCGCTTGTGAGGCAGACAGCGGCACCACTGAGCTAAATCCCTGGCCCTACTTGTGTCTTCTCCCCCAGAAATAGAAGTTCTGAGCTTCAGGGGCTGGGTCCCCAGCAGGAGGCCTGGCAGATGCCCAATAGATGATTGCTGAATAAAGGGAAAAGGAGACAACACTTTGTATAGAAAAGCTCATCAAAAACCACAGCGAATGTTAAGCAGGAGCGGGAGGCAGCGTTCTGCCGGGCGCTGCAGCTGCGTGCACAGATAAATTGTGCTGCAAAAGGAGAGGCAAAAGGGAGCGCAGGCGGCTCCGAGCTGTAAGCTCAACCCCTCCAGGAACCACTTCGCTCCTCTGACTTCTGCTTCCGCATCTGTAAAATTCATAGCTCTAACGGTGTAATTCTGGGTGGCTGTTCGGGTCTCCAAGCAATGAGCAGTGCTCTCCCCTGGGTAGCAAGAATAACCTGCAAGGCCAGGATAGTCATTTTGCCTCTCCCCGGCAGCCACGGCCCATGGTGCCAGCTCCTCGGAGTCGCAAACTGATCTTCACTCTCAAACAAGCGCCTTCACCAACTGCCTATGCCCTCCCACAAGAGCACCCTCTTCCCCGGTGGACCACGCGCCCTGCGGTCCCCTGACAACTCCACCCTCGAACAGCCGGGATCTGCAGGAACAAGACGGGCAAGTGGGTGCCGCGAACCCTGACGCCAAGAGTCATGGGCCTCAGTTTCACCTGGAAATGTAAAGCGACCAGCCCCATCAACGTCACCCCTCCCCTGGAATTCGAGATTAGGCGCCGTCCCTTCATCCCAGATCAAGCTCACCGCAGAGCGCAGGTTCCAGAGACGCCAGCAAGACCCTGAGCGCACACTGGGGCAGCAGCCCGAGCAACGTCACCGCCAGCTCCGCCCACCCTCCTGCTGATCGCTTCCTTCCCACCTTCCCCTTCCCCCTCCCTTCCCCCCTCCTCAGCGCGCGCCGCCCGCCAAGCGCCAAGCGCTGACCTAAACGTACTAGATCTTTGCAAAAGGGAAGTGGACCAAGAGATGTAAGGAAGGGGAGGGCAGGGAGCAGAAGGGGATGGAAAAGAATTAAGATGTGTTATGTGAATGTACCAAATTCCCACTATTAATGTAATCATGCACTACAAAAAAACTGTTACGCTTCCTTTTCTTTTTGGGATAGTGTTTAAAAGTGGAAAATAGAAAAATTTAAAGTAAATAAGCTTCAATCTATAACATGATTTTTGTACATTGGATACTGGATGAGTTCAAAGCTTTTTTTGTTGTTGTAGCAGTACTAGGAATTGAACCCAGGGCTTTCGCACTGAACTACGTTTTCAGCCCCTAATTTATTTATTATTTATTTAAAAGTAAAATTTTAAAATTTGTTTATTAGTACATGTTTGCAGTACATGCATTTTAAATCATCTTGAGTGGGTACAGATACATGACACAGCTTGTTTATTTTTTAAATCCTCCCTCTCCCCTCCCTCCTCTAATTTCCCTATCCCCCTTTTCATTCTTGTTGATATTGTTAGTCTTAGTTTATGTTTATGCATATAAAGTCCACAATCATTGAGGTTATTAGGATTTTGTACATGGCGTATCTTCACTCTACCTATTTCCCTATCCCCTCCACCTTGCCCCTTGCCCTTGGTCCCCTGAACCCCTTCCTATCTGCAAGAGATCGATCCCCTTGTCTTTTTCTTTCCTTTATTTTCCTCTAGTTTGTACTTTGCCTTACTCAAATGAGAGATACCACGTATTCAAGGTACAAGGGGACCAGGAAGAGCCTGCCTCTAGTGGACAGGCTCAACAATTTCCACTGTTGACACTCATTAGCAAGAAAGTAGCACGGGGTAGGGGTAGTGTACTTTTCATGGCGCAGCAAGGTCAGTAAACAGGTCCTTCCCTATACCTGGATGCCTGTTCTTTGTATTGTCTTCAGCAGATATCATCTTGCCCTGGGAGCACTGTATTTGTGGATTTTCTATGCACAGCCAGGAAACCTGTGCTTTTCCATTAACTTCTCTGTTCCTGAAGCAAGTTACATCAGCCTCGGACCCTACAGGGGCCCAAGTCACGTAGCCTGGTCCCAAACACAGTACCATGCTGTTTTTATCACTATTGCTTTGTAGTATAGCTTGAACTCAGGTATTGCTATGCTTCCTGATTTGCTCTTGTTGCCCAAAATTGTTTTTGCTATTCTGGGTCTCTTCTGGTTTTATATGAATTTTAGGATTCTTTTTTCTAAATCTGTAAATTATGCTGTTGGTATTTTTATTGGGACTGCATTGAGTCTGTATATAAGTTTTGGGAGGATGGCCATTTTGAGAAAATTGATTCTGCCTATCCAGGAGCAGGGGACATCTTTCCATTTTCTGCCATCCTCTTCAATCTCCTGTTTTAGAGTACTTTTCTTTGTAGTGGTCTTTCATTTCTTGGTTAGGTTAATTCCTAGATATTTCATTTTTATTGAAACTACTGTGAATGGTATTAATTTCATAATTTCTGTCTCAACCTGTTTATTGTTGGTGGACATAAACGCTAATAATTTTTTTGTGTTAATGTGGCATCCTGATACATTGCTGAAGTTCATTATTAATTCTAAGAGTTTTTGGTGGAGTTCTTTGGGTCTTCTGTGTAGAGGATCATGTCATCTGCAAATAATGATAATTTGAGTTCTTCCTCTTCTATATGTGTTCCTTTTGTTTCTTTCTCATGCCAAATTGCTCTTGCTGTTTCAAGTGTTTCAAGTACTATATTGAATAGAAGAGGTGATAGTGGGCATCCTTGTCTTGTTCCTGATTTTATGGGGCATACTGTTAGTTTTTCCCCATTTAGTATGATGCTGGCTACTGGTTTGTCATGCATAGCTTTTAGCATATTAAAGTATAGTCTTTCTCAGGGTTATTGTCATGAGGGAGTGTTGGATTTTGTCAAAAGCCTTTTCTGCATCTATCGATATGATCATATTGTTTTTGACCTTGCTTCTGTTTATGTGATGTATTACATTTATTGACTTAGGTATGTTGAACAATCCTTGCATCTCTGGGATGAAACCTACTTTTTTTTTTTTTTTTTTGGTACTGGGGATCCAACTCAGGACCTTACCCTTGCCAGGCAGGCGGTGGCACCACTGAGCTAAATCCCCAGCCCGATGAAACCTACTTGATTGTGGTGTAAGATCTTTTTGATAATCCAGTGCATTCTATTTACTAATATCTTGTTGAGAATTTTTGCCTCTATGTTCATTGAGGAGATTGGCCCATATTTTTCTTTTTTAGTTGGCTCATTATCTGGTTTTGGGATCAAGGTGATACTGGCTTCCATAAATGAGTTTGGGAGCACTCCATCCCTTTCAATTTCCTTGAAGAGCTCAAAGAGTACTGGTGATATAACACCCTTAAGGGTTTTGTAGAATTCAGCTGTGAATCCATCAGGCCCTGGGGCTTTTTTGTTGTTTTTGTTTTTGTTTTAGTTGGTAGGTTCTTTTATCCTTCATGTTTTTTTTTTTCCGGTACCGGGAATTGAACTCAGGACCTTGAGCTTGTGAGGCAGGTGGCAGAACCACTGAGCTAAATCCCCGGGCCTAGTTGGTAGGTTCTTTATTACTGTGTCAGTTTCATTGCTTGTTATTGGGTTGTTAAGCATATTTATGTCTTCTTGGGTTGGTTTTGGTAGTTTGTATGTGTCTAGGAATCTGTCCATTTCTTCAAGATTTACTTATTTGTTGGAATACAATTTTTCAAAGTAGTTACTATATATCTTCTGTATTTCCCCAGTGTCTGTTGGGATTTCACCTTTTTCATTTCTAATTGCATTGATGTGAGTCTTTTCTCACTTTCTCTTGATTTGTCTGGCTAGGAGATTATCTATTTTATTTATTCCTTCAAAGAACCAGCTCTTCAATCCATTGATTTTTTTTTTTTACTATTTATTTCTTTGTCTCAATTATTGATTTCCACTCTCATCTTTATAATTTTCCTCCTTAATTTTGATCTGGGGCTGGTTTGTTGTTATTTCTCAAGAATAAGATTTCTCACAAGGTTGTCTATTTGAGCTTGCTCTGTTTACCTGATGTAAGCATTGATTGTGATGAATTTTCCTCTTAGAACTGGTTTGATAGTGTCCCTGAGACTTCAATTTGATATTTACTTAAGCAGGATTTGTGAACCAGTATGTGATCTATTTTGAAAAATGTACCATGTGCTGCTGAAAAGAATATGTACTCTGTTGTAAAAGGGTGGAATACTTTGTATATATCCAGTAAGTCCATATATTCAAGGGTTTGATTCAGTATCTCTTTGCAAAAGTGGGGTGTTAAAATCCCCTGCTATGATTGTGTTAGTGCTAATGTGATCTTTTAATCTCAGCAATTTTTGTTTTATGAAGATAGGTGCTCCAGTATTCGGTGCATATATGTTTATCAAAATTATCTCTTCATGTTGGATTGTTTCCTTAAATAGTATATAGTGACCTTGTTTGTCTTTTCTAGTCAGTTTTAGCTTGACATTTACCATGTTTTGTTTTGGGGGTCCAGATGCATGAAATGTTGTTTTCCATCTTTTAGTTTTTAGCCTGTGAATATCTTTTTAGATTAGATGAGTTTCTTGAATGCAACAGATTGATTCTGATTTTTGATCCAGTCTGCCAGTCTGTGTCATTAAACTGGAGAGTTGAGGTCATTAACATTGAGAGATATTACTGAGATGTGTTGGTTATTTACTATCATTCCCTTCTTTATCTGTTGGTATGTCCTTTGTTTTTTCTTTTCCTGATGTTTTTTGTTGCTGTTTATCCACTGACCTCACTGGTTTCCTCTGGGTTTTAGCTGTGTCCAATTCATTGTTTCTGTCAAGAATATTCTTAAGTATTTTCACTAGAGCTGGTCGAGCACTCATATATCTTCTGAGCTGGTCTTTTTTCATGGAAATACCTTATTTCTCTATTTTGAAGGATAGCTTTGCTAGCTAAATTAATCTGGGTTGGAAGTTATTTGCTCTAAGGGCTTGCAATACTTCATTCCAAGCTCTTCTAGCCTTTAAGGATTGTATTGAGAAGTCTGTTGTGATTCTAATTGGTTTGCCTTTATATGTGATTTTTGTTGTTGTTGTTTTTCTTCTAGCTTTTAAAATTCCAGGGTATTTTGGTTGTGTTTTTTTGTTTTGTTTTGTTTTGTTTTTGCTGGACAGCTGGTAATTTAATAAGGACATGCCTTGGTGAGCTTCTTTTTTCATCATAATTGTTTGGTGTTATATAAGCATCACTTACTTGAATTCTAAACTCTTTTCTTATATTTGGGAAATTTTCTTCCATGATATCTGTAAGCGTGTAAGTGAATCCATCTGTACTATCTTCTAGTTTTTCTCTATTTCTGATTAGCCTTAGATAGATCGGTCTGCTCGTTGTCATCTAGTAGCTGCTGGATAGTCTTCTCTTGTTCTCTTATTTTCTTTTTGGCTTCTTTGAGTTTTTTATTG